CTTTGTCCCTTTGATGCCACGTATTCTACTTTACCCTACCAGCAAGCTTCCTCAATAGGCATGAGATCATCAGAGCAACTTCTGCTCTCAGCTGTCTTGCTACAACTAAGCCCCTGGTGCGTGGCGTCCTCGAGGGCTCCAGGTGAAGGCGGTCCAGTTAATGCCCCTGCGGCCTTTCCATCTGGCTGGCTCACTGCTTCTCGGCCCTCCTACAATCATGTTATTCTGCTCTTTGCTTTTTATCGATTGTTTTGTTTGTTTCTGAGCAATTCTGTTAAAAGGAAGACATCTCACTCTAAAAGAGATCTAGTTTAGGCTGGAAGATGGAGAAAATGTTCTTCTAACCGACTCTTCACATTTCCCTGGATGTGACCTGACTAGCGGGCTGGCTTCTTGGGTGTGTGACCTGTGCACACAGATTCATTTTTCCGAGGTACTGGATCATTAAGGGGCCAGGGCTTGGGACCCAGATTTACCTGGTTCTGAGGTCTCCTGCTTTTCTCCACCCTGGCTGATTACAGAAACCCAGCTTTCCTCTGGGAACAAACACTTCAGCTGATCCTCATTGGCTCCATCTTAATTCGCCTAACTGCAAGCACCCTTGCTGTTGTCAAATCATCCAGGTAAATATACTGGTATTGAGGGTTTCTTCCCCTCTGGAAGCTCAATACTCCCACAGCAGGTGACCTTTAAGGTCCTTTTCCAGCACAAAGAGCCTAAGATCCTCCAGGGAATGTTCCTCAGCTCACAAGCAAAGTATCTGCATTTTCATGTATGTCCTGCCCCACCTGGCTGTTTAACCTAGAAGACATGGTGTGAGGAGGGAGATTTCCGGCTAGGGGATGAGGGGGGTACGTTTGGTGAGTAAATCCACCCAGTGGCCCAGGTTCCCATCTAGCCCCCGTGTGCTGTACACACAGCCTGGCCCTCAGGGGTCTGGGGCTTAGGAAGAGAGGAAGAGGTTTTAAAGCTAATTTCAAATCTAAACTTCTAAACAGTAAATCAACAAACCCCGCTGATTTTCTCTCCCTCATGCCTCGTGTTTCTCTCTCTCACTCTCTGTTCCACACTCTTGTTTGTCATCCTTTTTCTCCTGTGTTCAGTGGAAGCCTCCATCTGCACCTCCCAGGAGCCGGCTGTGCAGGGGGCCGCATCCTGCGCTCATCCCTGCTTGTTTCTGCCCCTCGGGCTCATTCTCCCCTTTGCATCAGCTACACCCTCCTGCCCTTCCCCCAGCCCAGACTGCCCTCCTCGGTCTTTTTCTCCAATCAAGCAGCTCTCAGAGTCCCAGTAAATCCTCTTTCTCCAATGCTCACCCTGTCCCTAAATATCTCAGAAACAAAGAGACCAAAGCCCCCCTTTCCCTCTGTCCAAATTCCCGTCCCGGGATTATCCCTACCCAAAACCCTCCGCACCCAATATTCCCCACCTCCCTTGCAGAGTTGACCCCCAGATGGACAAATGGACACGCGCCCCAGCTCCAGCCCGCAGCACCCATCTCTGGGGACCCCCCAGGAGCCGGGCTGGAAGGAGGGGAGGCATCCAAATCTTACCTATGACCGTGAGCCTGGTGCCTGGGCCAAAATACTGCTCATAGGAGCACAGTGAGAAGCCCCGCACTCAAACCCCCGCAGCTCCAGGCCGCTCCCGGGTCCCAGCGCCCCGCTTCAGTGCTGCGAGGGGACCAGGTGCCCGCGGCCGCCCCGCCCCGCGCTCGCCGCCTTCCATCTCGCCCCGCCGCCGCTGCCGGGCCCGCGGACACTCACCCACCACGGTCAGCCGGCTGCCGGCCCCGAAGGGCAGGGCGGCGCCTGTAAAGCACAGCCCCGGGGCTCCCCACCGAAACCGAGGCGCGCCGCCCGAGCTCACCTAGCACCAGGAGCCGCGTGCCCGGCCCGAAAACCGGGGGAGAGTCACGGCCCCCCAGCGCCGCGCAAAAACCCGCCGCGCGTCCCGCCCCGTCCCCGGCGGCAGCGTCCCCGCTCACCTAGCACCGACAGCCGGGTGCCCGCGCCGAAGTACTGAGTTTCAGTGCTCACAGCTTCTGGGCTCAGCACAAAAAGGGGTCCCGCGGCCCTGCTGGCGTCCTGAACGCCCCTTTCCGCTCCTAACGCCCCAGGGCACCCCGCTCACCTAGCACAGTCAGCCGGGTGCCCCCGCCGAAGAACAGAGGGTCGTTGCTCACAGCCCTGAGGCCCAGGACAAAAACCGCCGCTGCGCTCTCCTGATGTCCCAAACTCAGCCCAGGTCCCCACCGACCCCGAGCACAGCCCCAAATGGAGATGGGCAGCAGCCCACCTCTCTCCAGCCCGCCCGAACGAGCGCTCAGGGACCCCAGCTGCCCTCCTTACCCAGCACAGTCAGCTTGGAACCATTGCCAAAATACAGCTCGGTGTTCACACAGCCCTGGGAACTCAGGCACAAACTTAGCCTTCCCTGAGAGCAGCCCAGGAGGGTCCAGCGTCCACTCCCCAAAAGCCAGGATTCAGGAGGTCATCCAGGCTGGGCAGCCCATCCTCCCTCCCCCCTGGAGCAACCTTCTTACTTAGCACAGTGAGCCTGGTCCCTGGCCCGAAGTGCAGCTCATTGTAGGAGCACAGTGGGAAGGGGCTACCAAGAATTCCTCCTTCTTCCGCTCCTCCCCTGGCACAGACTGGGACCACCCTCCTTCTCCCTGGCTTCTCTCTTCCCACCTCTCTTCAGAACTAGCTGGACACAGAAATCTGGGCCCTGCCTGAGGTCATCCCCAATTTGCAGACAATGAGCTTGGCTTGGGGATTTACAGTGGTTGTGAAATTGGAAGGGGTATTTGTGATGGAGATTTTGCTGGACTGGGAAGTGTTCCAGGCTAGACCCCGCCTCTTACTACTTCCGTGACCTGCAACCTCCCTGGCCTTCGTTTCTGCAACTGAAAAATGGGGTCATATCTTCCCCACAGCGTTGTTGCGAGTGCTTAACAAATTACACACCTGCAAGTACTTTGTCAAAAGGCAAGGTTTGTGAAAAGCACAGAATCATGACTCCACTTTGTGGCTTGATTCTTCGCTTTCCTGGAAGCTGAGTGTGGAGCAGGGAGGGGCAGAGGTGATCACGGAGTCCGGATCCCTGCGAGATCACATCAGGGACCTGCTCAGGAGATCTCTCCCAGCTACTCTCCCCATGCAGGAGCCCCACCCGGGCAGGTGGAGCTATTTTCTGAGGCTGGGCTTTTTGTAAAAGCCCTTCCTCTAACTGAATCATCGTGCCCCCCCGAAGTCCCCACAATGTTACACTATGAAACAAAAATGTCCTCTCCTATTGTCCCCCTCCCCTAATGACTGTGCGGAGGCAGGAAGTGCAGGTGGCAGAGCTTGGTCTGATTGAGTGGGGTGGGAAAAAACCTGAGTAATCGAAAGTGGGGAGGGCCTTGGGGAATGTTAGGGTGCTAGTGGAGGGGGAAGGGGACAGAGAGGCCCCTCCTGGAACCTACGCCACCCTGAGGACATCTCCTATGTCATCAGGGCTCCCCTCTGGGACTCACTGTGCCCACCTGCACAGACTGGCATTTATAGTGAGGCACGTGGGAGGAGCATCCCTAGAGCAGGGGATGGCAACTCAGGGCAGGAGGACACACAGCCTGGAAAGCTCTGCGATTCCCCATTGCTTCCTGAATAGGGTCCGAGCTCCTTTCCCTTCATTAGTCCACAGACACGAAATGCACATCTACTATATGCCAGGCCTCACGCTGGTTGCAAGGACAGAGTCCACTCTCAAAGCGGGAAGCCCCAACCTGCCTTTTCAGCCTTGTGACTTCCATCTTGGACCTCGCAGACCCACTGAGCAGAAGTACCTGACCCTGTAGTTTCATATCCTGTTCATATATCCGACTATCATGACCTCTCTCCCACATGGCTAACTGAGACCGGTTCTTCCTTCGAAGAACTGCCACCGTCTCAGACTCTCCCCTGATGGTCCCCGTCAGAAACCTCTTGCTAGCCTCTGCCTGCATTGTCGGAGACAGATCACCTTGCTATTGCAAGCATCACCGTGTGTGTTAACTTTCTATTCATGAATTATCCCCCTATGAGCAGGGAAGCTTCTTGGGGACTGTGACCTGGATATCTTTGTTTTCTTGAAGGTTACTAGCAAATGTTGCAATGATATGTGCTTAACGAGTAGGTGCCTCTGCTCATGCATGCATGTAGACATACGTGTTTGTGCATGTGTGTTGGTATAGGTGCAGACACCCATGTTAGAATGCACGCAGAGTTCCAGTAGTGGGAGGAGGCTGTGTGCTGCAGGCCTGTGGGGGGCGGGAACAGATGGCTGTTCCAGGCAGCCCTTAGGTGGTATCTGCTCCTGAATTGGGTCACTTTGGGCAAACTCATTGATTCATTCATTTCTTTAAAGAGAATTTATTGGGTTAGTACACTGAACCAAGGTACTGTGCCACATCGCAAGGATACTGTAATACCACACAACCTGGTCCTCAAGGAGCTGACCTTCTAGTGGGGGTGCCAGACAAGGAAAGAGGTAGTTTCCATCAACTGTGGTCAGTGGCAGGAAGGAGATGCACACAGGGTACTGTGATAGCAAAATGCAGGGAGAATTTCATCCATTTGCATGGAGTAAGGGGCAAAGATCCTCCAGAGGCGGCTACTTGCTGGGGAAGACGTCACCGCTGAATCCGCAAGGATGGGTGGGAGCGCACATGAGTCATTCCAGGTAGAGGAGTGCAAGATGGCCTGAGCGCCAGTGACTCGGGGGTTCAGGGTGACGGGAGTGAGGGTGAGTGTGGATAAAGTGGTGGAGGACAAAGGTGGGTCTTTTATGCCATCCTGCGGACTTTGGGTTACATCACCATGGTGACAATGAGACAGTAAAGAGCTTTGGAAGGATTTCTAGAAATACCAACAGGGCTGATCCTTGGTTTTAGGGAAACTGATTTTGTATCCTCTCAGGACTGATCAGGGCCATATTCACACACATTTAATTCACTAGAGTGAAATTTATATCCAGCTTCGTAACTTAAACTGGAAGGTACATCTGATAATGAGAATAGATAGTAATTTCTCTTCTTCTCACCTGGAATCACTCCTTGGTGATGGAGAAAGCTGAGTAGCGCCCTCAGGGAGACAGTGGAGAGAGCGTGGGTGACGCACATGACACCCAGCTTGGTGGCCGTGGGGACATGACCACTCACAAGTGGACACAGCTCTTCCTCAGAGCACCTTTGTCCAGGTAGGACAGAAATTTCCTATAGACAGCATCACACCTTTTTCTAGGTTGTTCCAGAGTAAGCCTCTCTCTTCACCAATCACACCCTTTCACGTGTACTTGAGTTTTGCCGGCAGTGTGGAGTAGTACCACCCACAGGCTGGGTCCCTTGACCCTCCTACCTGAGGGGCCTGCACTTTCTTGAATGCCTCTTGTTTCCACCCTGGCTGGAGTCACATGGGACTTCAGAGATGGACGGAGGAGATATCTAGGCACTCACAAGGCAGACTCAAGCCAGATCAGGCCATTTTTATTGGTTGAATCCGTTCAGGCCCGCCAGGGTCCCCCTTGGGCTAGGGAGATTTTGGTCATGAGTGTTTGGGGGGCATGCACACAGGGGTAGATACTGGGGTGCGTAGAGAGATGAGAGCAGCTCTTCTGAAGCACTGGGTAGGAATGGAAAAAGCAGAATTCACATCAGGGCCATAACAGGCTGGAAGCTCCTGGCTCCACCTCTAAGCTGGCTTCAGGAATCCTTTCTCTTGACCTGAAGAAGAGAAAGTTTGGGGGTTACCAGGAGCCAGCAGTGCTGGGGACTGAGAGGACGTAGGGTTTCCCACTGACAAGACAAATAGCAGGGTTCCCCTAACATCCATCATGTTTTCAGGTGACCCCAGTTTCTCCTTCACAGCATGGTACTTGCATTGTGATCCCAGACATAAGTGTCTTCTGAGGCATGTGGGTGACTCCCCCCTTTCCTCTCTGCCCATTCTGGTCCCGGCAGGGTCTCTGTGTTCTTGGGTGTCAGTTGCTGTGTTTCAAGTGTCACCTCCAACCAGCCGGCCCCATCCTGCCCTCGTCCTTACCATGGCCATCAGCACCAGGGCGCTGACCAGCACAGCATACAGGGTGGCCTTCCCCAGCAGGATCTCATAGAGGATGGTGGCAGACAGGACCCCTTGCTGGTAGGACGCTGTTGGCAGGAAGGGAGAGCAGGTAGGTACCTGTGAGCAGGGATCTCTGGTCTCCTTGCCCACGCACCACCCACCCTTCCATGCCCCACCAGGGTTCATGGGGTTTGCATTCTCTGGTTCCAGAGCAAAGACCATGGGAGATGGAGACAAAGGAGCAGGGGG